ACTATGGCCTTCAAACGTCCAATAAAACCGTTAGACGCTGCCCGAATGTTGCTCTGCGGCATTTTGGCCCATTCCCGGCGAAGCGCTTGCTTGAGTTGATCGGTGGTGCCAACCTTGCTTTCCAACATACTACAGACACAATAGTCCAACGGATTAGTATCCGGAAATTTTGGTAGCCATTGTGCGCTGGAAATGAAGCGAGGAACCTCATTTGTTAACCATTTTGGCGTAACCATTTTGTAACCATTGGCGCGTGCTGAGTGCGATGCTGATGAGTTCTGTTGGAATGTCCAAGGGCTGCGGACAAAATGTTTGCGTGCCCAAGACTTTAATACACCCTCCAGAATATTTTCGCGATAGCGCTTGAGTTGTGATGGCCAACCGAAGGTGCAAATTTTCAGCTGACCTCTTTGGCAAGTAAACACGATCATTTTGTTTTTTTACAAACTGCTGGACAACGAATGTTTCTCATCGGAGTAAACCAAAATTCGGCAGTTCACCAATTTCGACCAAACGAAGCAACTCTTTATCTCTTTTGAGTCTATTTTCTTTCTGTTGCGGGGTAATTTCTTGAACATTTTCGAATTTCAATGGCTTTACCCCGAGCTCATTGCCGAATGGAATATTGCAATATGTTCAGCTCACGAGCCATTTTTCGGCCACTGCGACGCGGGTTTCGATCAAGTCGCTTCTTTACTTTTCGAAGCATTTCTGCTGATGTTGTTGTTTTCTTCCGTCCACTTCCTTGACGTCGGTCTACGCTACCAGTATCATGGTACCGAGCGATGGTACGAGACACAAACGATTTATTCACATTTAAATGTTGGAATGCTCTGGCGATATCCACTTGTGGTTTTCTAGCCAAATATAAAGAAATCACACTATCACGCTTGAATTCCATCACGAATAACTTTTTCACCAAAATGCATTTGTACGCTTGTAAACAACATAATGACCTGTTACTGAAAAAATTTTAACAGCTTTCGGACGAGTGGCTTAGAAATGACAGCAGTCTGAAGTTGGTTAAAGTTTTTTCTACTTACCCTGAGAACGATAATTCTAATTGCATATATATTTTGAATACTATTTTTTCACAATATCTTGACCAGGACTTCGAAAAACATACTAACAAAGTCCTCGATATTTGTTCTTAAAAAATGTTCTCCAAAAATCAAAGCCTTCTAATGAGATAATTCTTAAAAATGTGATTGAAATTTGGAAGGGTATTTCTTAAAAATCTAATATTTTCTTAACAGATAACCCTTTAAGACCAATTTCCGAAATACTAGGGATCATAGAAGTCAGTATATTCTTGAAAAATATTAAAAAATTGTCTGCTTTTGGACATGTTGATAACATACCACTTTGTCATATTATTTCTAGACAAAAAGTCCTGATATATTATGTCCAAGTCAAACATTTTTGGAATTTTGGAAATTTTCTGAGATCGGTATGCTTTACAAATTCCAGAGATACATAATACTACCACATTCTTCTTTTCTGAATGCATAAATGTAAGAATTTAATAAATAATATTTTATTTTAAACTCTGCAAATTATATAATGGAAATCTGCTTGAAAATGTGCATCGAACGATCTAAGCAGTAACTTGTGTACTCAAGTACCTGAAGTAACTGCATGATATGTATCTAGTTCTCTGGAATTCCCATTCATGTTTTCTTAAATGTTGAAGTTTATTTAAAGGTGGTTTGTCGAAGATGCCATTGAACTCATTAAGTGTGCTAAGTAAACTTTATGCACACAGATTTGCGTGTAATGCACGTGAGATGCTAATAACTAAAATTTGAGGTGTTTGTTGCAATGAGTACACGACAAAAAAATATCAAAAAATTCAAATTTTAGGTGCAGTGCCAAATACATATTGGAAAAAAAAAAACTCGGTGAAAGAATTTCTAAAATAGCACTTTACATTATAAGCTGGATAAAGTTTCATCAACTAAGCGTACATTTCGAGAAGGTCTATGAGAGATGCTGTAAAATGTTAAATTAAAATTTATATTTGAAATATTGCGAAGAAAATATTAAAAACTTTTTAATTGTAATCTAGCTATCGGGACTATACCAAAATATATATCTGTGTTGAAAATATTCTGTACAATGATTCTCTACCCCCAAATTTTTAACCAAATCTATTAGAAAATATATTCAAGACCCTCGAAATAGGTAAAATCAGGTGGCAATATGGGCGCTACTCCAAAACATTCACCTTCATTGAAAGTTGACTGTGAAGACGCTTTTTACCCCTTAGAGACTTAGATGCCAAATAAGGTACATTTCAATTGACAAATGTGGCCAAGACCCCGGAAATAGCTGAAATCAGGGAGCCTATATTTATAATTTTTTTGCTAGGATGGCTTCTTTTTACTAACAACTCAAATTACCAAAATTTGCGAAATTAGTGCGAACAAATAAAAAAAACAGAACAGCAACAGCAAAAAAAAATTAAATTCGTTAAAAATTCTGTTAAAATCTCAAGAATACCGAACATAAGAAATCGCCGTTATATTGGGGTCTGTACGAATACGTGGACTGTATAGGCTAATTTGTAATAGGTCATTACAATATTCAAATACGAAACTTGAAGAAAATCCGAAATATAGGGAGTTAACGTTATATGGGGGCTATACGAAGACCTGTATCTATTAGAAACTTCAAATACGAAATTTGAAACACTTCCGGTGAAAAATGTCACTAAAATCATCATGTCTTCCCAGTACGAACTCCAAATACGAAGTTTAAGTCAATTATGGTAAATAATGTTAATAAAATCATTAATATATTGAAAAAGGGGGGGGGGTCTATACCATTGTATAGGTGATATACGATATCGTGGACCTATATTGTATGGAAAAGAATTCCAGGGGGTAAAATACTTAGAAGGAACTCCAATATCGGGGGGTACCGTTATATGGGGGCTATATGATTTATTTATCTTCGAACTTGGCCTGCCTGCAGACAAAAGACTGATGTGTGCAAAATTTTAACTTCCTATCTTAATGTGTTTAGACTATAGCGTGATTACGACAGACTGACATATGGTCAGTGCTAAATCGTCTTAAGATTTTACGCTGATCAAGACTATATATACTTCGTTAGGTCTAAAATTTTTATTTAGATGAATTACAATCGCAATGACAAACTTAATATGCCCTTCATACTATGTATGGTGGAGGGTATACAAATATGGCTAGCATAAAAAAAAACTTTAAACGGTGTATACCAAACGTATGGTGGGTCTATATAAAACAATGGCCGACATCACCCATATTAGATAAAAATGAGTCTAAATATAAACCATAAGAACGGATCAAATTTAAAAGTCCTATCCCAAAATTTTCCGTAATATAGAAAAAATAATGCGTCGTAAAGAAAATTTGGCTTGGGAACCCAAAACTCTTTTGGAATTTTGATCTACAAACCGAATTCTTGTTAGGAAAGTTTACCATTTAACATCGTATTGTGCCCTAATTTTAATATCTAAATATTTCAGAAAAATATTTCAGAATTAAAAAAAAAAATAAATAATTTAATATAGTATGTCAAATTGAAAAAATCTCATGCGATATTAAAAATGTAAAAAAATATACATCACAAAAATAATTTTTGTTTAAATTTTTATCGACTTATTTTTCGCATTTTTTTTTTTTTGGGTTTTATCCATTTCTGCCAAGAGATCAATTAAAAACCAGTAAAGAAAGTCTTAAAGTCGGGCGGGGCCGACTTTATGATACCCTACACCACCTTGCTAATTTAGTAGAGATCATACACATACACAATCATACACGCTATGATTATAAGTATAATTTAAAGTTCAAAGGACTAAATATGCCGAAACATTTGTATCGTTCAAATTCGGACATGTATTGCCCATTTGGTGCACAATTAATTTGAAATCGGATAAAAATATATATGGTAGCTATATCCAAATCGGAACCGATCTCGATAAAATTTGGCAAAGATATTTCTGAGCTGTATTTGATTTATTTCCCTGAATATCGTTGTTACGGAGTGCATATTACGGCTGTGCGTAACAAATATGACAAATCGGATGAACAGTATATATGGGAGCTATAGCTATATCTGAACCGATCTTCACCAAATTTGACATACTAACTTCTAGACTCAATTCGGTCGTATGTGCCAGATTTCCAATTTGGGCAAATATTAGACGTTTGTTGCACAATCAAAGGTAAATCGGAGCTATATCTAAATTTTGACCGATTATCTCCAATTTCAATAGGGTCCGTCCTTGGGCCAAACAAATGACTTGTGCAAAATTTCATGTGGATAGGGCAATAAATGCGAACTGTACTTTGTTTACAAAAATACATGGACAGACGGACGGACGGACGGACATGCATAAATCGACTCAGAATGTGATTCTATGCAGATCATCAAAAGGAACTATGGGTCTATCTCGTTTCCTTTTGCCTGTTACAAACAAATGCACAAAGACATAATTCCCTGACCACCTTGTGGTGTAGGGTATAATTATATGAATTGTAAAAATAACAAGAGTAGTTCTGTAGTTATAAGCGTAGTAACTAACATAACTTTATTTTATATAGAAGATATTCATTCCAAATATTTCTCAGTGTACATCCTAGTAAAATACGCATAAATGTTGTGTCTTTTTCTTGCACTGCAAATATCTTCTAATGGGGTTAGCGTAAATGCCATAGATAATTAACGTTTCCACACAGATTTCGGTTGAGTTGTGGGTGTGTGCGTATGTGTGTGGTTGTAATAAAAATGAGCTAAGTAATTACAGTAACTTTTCGTGGCTAGACGGCTGCGATAGCTGCAACAGCCGCTGCAACTTTTTTTCGAACGCATGCAATGTCAGCGACTCAATGTTAGTGTTGGAAAACCGACCGAGTGTAAAGTTAAACGAGAAGGATTTTTAATCGTTTTTAAAGCCATTGGATGTTGAATGTTTGTTGTTAAAGGTTGGTTTAAATTTTCTTGTTTTTTTGCAGTTACACGCTTTACGACGCCTTATGCAAGGCAGTCCCGATCATCCCAAGGCTCCATTGGGTAACAACTATAGACCGCCTCAACCTTTATTGCATCGGCCCATTCGGACCAATATTGACTTCAAGACATCAAAAACAAATGGTAAAGCCGCCTGTCCCACCATGTACAGAGAAGTCTATTATAAGGGTAAGTATTTATTTAAAAAAATAATTGGAAACATATCAATATCAATGCAGCCACCATTATACCAGTATGTGTGGCGTTCATTTAATATTTTTTAAGGGGGGGCTATATGAATTGGAGAAATGTTGTTAGTTGCGGTTTCGTTGGAGCCAAGTCTGGATTGAGACTGCGTTATTCCTTAAATTTAAATGAAATGGTTATCTAGTCGAAGTATCTCTGAAATAGTAAATTTGCTGAAGAGGCTGCCAAAAGAGGATATGTAAATGTAAAGAATTTACGTTCCTGCCCTGAATTATTTGTCCTGAGATAGTAGTTTTTAAGTACTTTGTAATTAAATGTGTTGTGTTTTCTTAGAAAGTCTAACCACATCAAAAAAGACTATGACTTCAGAGTTAAGGAACTGGCAATAAAAATTAGGCGAGCTGGAAAACATGAAGAAGTACGCGATAAACTTTTATAGGAAATTCACAGATCACACCCGGACTGAGGAGGAAAATTTTCCATAGATTGCATTGGAAAATTTTCCCTCAGAGTACCGACAAATTTATCTAATGTTCGAGTAGAAAACCAAAATAAAAATAGTCGATAAAATCCAAATCTGGCACATCGTACTGTTTTTATCCGACCTACATTAGACACGCAAGAGAACATTCCTCTCCAATAAAGGGTTGACATTTTAAATAGTAAAATATTCGAATTTATAAAGGATTTACTACAAAATTTTTATGGACTTTTTTTTAAGGCAATTCAATTCCAAAGAAATACAAATTGCTATTTATACCCCCAGCCATATGGCTGCCGAGGGTATACATATATCATTTAATACGACCAAAACGTGCTCATCGGAATAACGGTGTTAGACCTTAGGTCTCTTTTTGGACCAAATCCGTTTCAGAATATTTGAAGTCGGTCTAGGGATGGTTGTCCGTCGGTCAAGTCTGTCTGTTTGGCTGGTGCGCACGATAAATCTCGAAATGTCGAGTGTCTGATTCAAAGTCAAAAGTCGATTGCTGAAATGGGCAATATCGGTCCACTCCTTCTGGTACCTCTCCCACAAAAGGTCAACATTTGCTTAATAGAACAGGAAAATATCGTCCAATTTTCAGCAAGCATTTCAAATCGCAATGTCTTAATAAGTGTTAGGGCAGGTACGAATATTGAGTATATCGGTTCACTCCATCAAGTACCTCCATAATTATAACTTTTATAAAATGTGAGATAAGAATCCGATTGTCCACACAAGATGTAGTGGGGAGATGGGATATGTAGGTTCGCTCCTTTAGGTACCTCCCACATAAAGGGTTAAAATTTTGAATAATCGTCTCTATTATAAAAAGTGAATAAGTGTCCGCTGGTCTTGCTAGCAAGGGTCATTCCTTCTGGTACCTGCAAACGGTCAAAATTTTGAATAACCATGACGCTCATAAAGGACGAAATAAACATGCGATTCTTGTCAAACATGACACATCCCAATATTTCCCGCAACTCAAGGTAGAGGTATATACATATGTCAAGGTAGAGGTATATATACATATGTATACATACCGACTGATACTATTTAACTTGATTGATTTATTGTCTGTTTCTACACTTTACTCAAATATTTGCTAGAATCGATCTGAATTATGTTCCACACAAATTGGTTTCTGGTTTATCGAGTTGTACAAACCCCTTGAAATTATCGGTCCATTCCTTCTGGTACCTCCCCCATAAAATGTAAATATTTTCAAAGAAAATAATTTACTGCACATAAAGAGAAAGGATAATCTGATGTTGTTCCAACTTTGCATATCCTAATATCTGGATCAAAGCTCTTAAAAAATGTGACGTAAGAGTCCGATTGTCTTCAAATTTCACACATTCCATTTTTTTATCCATCTAAGGTCTGACGTTAAGATGGAATATATCGATAGGCTCTTTCTGGTACCTCCCCCAAAAAGGTCGAAATTTTCAAAAAATATTTTTTGCACAGAAAAAGAAGGAATAAACCGATTTTGCTCCAACTTTGCAAATCCTTATATTTACGCCAGTGACATATCGGTCCACTCCATCAAGTACCTCCCCCACAAAGGGTAAAAATTTTGAATAATTACAAATCTCATAAAATGTGATGTAAGAATCCGATTGTCTTAAAATGTCAAACATCCCAATATTTTTATAAACCCAAGATCTGGTGTTAAGGTGGAATAAATTGATCCACTCCTTTTGGTAGCTCATAAAACTCGAAATTACTATCCGATTCCATTTAGACTTGATACCATTTTGACTTGATCTGAATATTTCCATCAATCGGCGTACTCCTTTTGGTACCTCCCCCATAAAGGGTGAAAGTTTTGCTTTGGTCGACTATACCTGGTACTTCACGCACATTTTAACATTTTCTAAAAATTATCACATATCTGATATAAAATTCAAACCTGGCACGACGAAATATTTATATGATAGGTGTTTAGGTCTGATGCAAAATGAACAATATTGGCCCATTACTTCAGAACCTACTGCATAGAAGGTCAACAATTTGAATAATTTTAACACAAATCAAAATATATATTAGCTGAGGGTATACATCTGTCGGCTAAAGCGAGAGGTAAATTTTAACTTGTTTTTAATCTCATTTATTTTGAGATTTTTTTTTGTTTTGAAAAATGATTCCTACATATTTATCAGTTCCCAAAAAATACTTTCAAAAACTTTAATATTGTTTGGTGTACGGAAAGAAAGACGAAAGTCCAGGAGAAGTCCAGGTTGATTCGATTTCGAGAAAAAAAACTGGACATTTATATCCACAAAAACCGAAACTGTTAAAATTGTTATCAATTCGGCTGGAAAATTAATATATATATATATATATATATATATATATATATATATATATATATATATATATATATATATATATATATATATATATATTATACCCCTAAAACGACATGGAAATATATTAATCACCTATACAAATTGCCAGATTTACAGGATGGGATGAAATAAACCTAAAACAAAAAAAATTGCCAGATTACAATTATGTACCGATCTGAGAGAAATTTTCAAAAGATGATCTGTATGTACCTTTGGGTCTACAAAGAATATTTTACTACTAACAGTTTCTAGAAATGTGTCTTACCTTCTCAGCCAATATATTTCATGGGAAAAATTATTTAAGACATTATTATATTAAATCAGATTTTTTTATCTCTTATCTCCCAACTAGTATACCTTTTTATGTCTTAATTCATTGTATTCTTTTTATTTTGTATTTACAGCCACAAGTTGGAAACAACATTAAAACCCACACACACATATACACATCAAATCCAACGATGTCGACTTTTTTTCTACCAACCCACATGAAAGCAGCAATCAAAGGAGACAACCGAGGAATAGGTCAGAGTAATGTTTGATAATATTTTTGCAAAATGAAAAATAAAGAAAACAACAACAACAAACACAAAAATACAAAAATAATAATAAACAGCGTGTAACAGGAGCTTCCACTAAAAATAATAATAATAAAAAGCTATAAATAACATAAATAACTATATAAAATATAAATAAATATTCTATATTTGGTAAGAATGACCAAAACAAATCAAACAATTTATAATTGAGTAAATGAAAAAATAATTAAAACTACAATTAGAGATATTGAAAAAAATATTAGTAATAATTAAAAAAATAAATACAAAATTAGTTAAAAGAAAAAATGCATATAAATAAGCTACATAAAACTATATACGTATATAAATAAATAAAATTATTGAATTAAATAAGTAGAGTCAAAATTAAAAAAAAATCAACTACAATAATAATTATAACATTTATAAATATCAAATCAAATTCCGAAAGCGACAAATGACAATTAATTAGAAAAATTTGTAATGTAAATCAAATAGTGAACAGCATATACCGACCGACAGATTTATCATTAGCATCGCCACCATCTTCATACACATGTATATTATCACAATTGTTATTTTTGCAAAAATCTTAATTAGGAATTTAAATCAAAATCCATTGACATCGAATTTGCCAATATCATACGTTACGCCACAATCGGATTTACTCCATTAAATTTTAATTGATTTATGTTTGTAATCTCTATGACTCTATGTGTGTCTGTTTGCGTGTGTGTGCCGATTTATTAGGAATATTTTTATTGGGTCAATGATTTCAATGGAAATCAAAATTTTGGTAGAGTATTTGGAATGGTGACCTAATTTTCATAAGGCGGAGAATGTTTGTATGGTATTGGTGGGTTTTATAGTGGTCGATTTAAAGCGTTAATAAAGGTTAAATTGAGTTATCTTTGCCAGAGCAGATACTAAAGGACACTAAATTTAGTGCCATCGATTTGAAAGTAACTGTGTACAGTTGTATCTATGAATTTTGGTAAACCCCTTATTTAAAAAAGAAATTGGGCGTCATCCACCACAAATCATTGTTGTAACCCATAGACTAAAAAGGATCAGTCAGTATGAGAGAATAAGAATACCCAGAGCTCTTTCACTGTTTATAGAAATTTGGAGAAATGGTGTCCTGTAAAGATCCTCTCCTTTATAGACAATAGAAATCCAGGAGATCCTCAACTGAGAATAAAGTACCTACACGTCCACTCTTTAAAATACAGGTTCTCTATTGACAATAGAGGCCCCCAGGTCATCTTTGGACAATATAAGACCTACAGATTCTCCATCGGCAAATAGAGGACCTACAGGTTTCCCATAGACCAAAGGGGACCTACAGGTCCTCCATAGAGAAGAGGAGACCTATAGCTCCTGTATAGACAATAGAAGAGCTACAGGTCTACTTTAGAGAATGGGAGACCTCCAGTTCCTCTATAGACAATAGAAGACCTCCAGGTCTTCTATAGGCAATAGAACTCCTCCAGGTCTTCTATGGACAATAGAAGACCTCCAGGTCTTCTATAGACAATAGAAGACCTCCAGGTCTTCTATAGACAATAGAAGACCTCCAGGTCTTCTATAGACAATAGAAGACCTCCAGGTAAACAATAGAAGACCTGAAGGTCTTCTATATACAATAGAAGACCTGAAGGTCTTCTATAGACAATAGAAGACCTCCCTGTCTTTAGAAGGCCGGGATTTATTCTATATACAATAGAAGACCTTTCGGTCTTCTATAGACAACAGAAGACCTCCAGGTTTTCTATAGATAATGGAAGTCCTCCAGGCCTTCTAAAGACAATAGAAGACCTCAAGGTCTACTAAAGACGAAAAAGTCCTCCAAGTCTTTTAAAAAATCTACAGGTCAGGACTTACAAGACCTACAGGTCTTATATGTACAATAGAATACCTCCTAGTCTTCTATGGACAACAGACGAAACCCAGACCTTCTACAGACATTAGAAAACCCCCAGATTTTCTTTGGACAATGGAAGTCCTCCAGGTCTTCCGTGGACAATAGAAGACCTCTAGGTCTTCAGTGGACAATAAAAGACGTCCAGGTCTTCAGTGGACAATAGAAGTCATCCAGGTCTTCAGTGGACAATAAAAGACCTCCAGGTCTTCAGTGGGTAATAGAAGACCTCCAGGTCTTCAGTGAACAATAGAAGACCTCAAACTGTAGACAGTATAAGACCTCTAGGTCTTCTACATAGAGCAAAAGACCCCCATATTTTCTATGTTCAATAGAAGACATCCAGCTTTCCTATGGACAATAGAAGACCTCAGCTTTTCAGTGGGCAATAGAAGATCTCCAGGTCTTCAACGGCCAATATAAGACCTCTATGACATATATTACCAATAGAAAAGCTCCAGATCCTCTTTAGACAATAGAAGACTTCCAGATCAATTGAAGACCTCCAGCTCTTCTATTGACAATAAAAGACCTCCAGGAAACAGAAGGCTTCCTTGTCTTTTATAGGCAAAGTAGACTTTCCGGTCTTCTATTGGTCCTCTATAGGCTACAGAAGACCTCCACTCTTTTAGGCAATAGAAGACCACCATGCATTTTAGAAGCAAGACCTTAAGACCTCCATGGCTTCTATAGGCAACATAATAGCTCCATGGCTTATGTAGGCTATTTAAGACCTTCAGGTCTGCTATCGACAATAGAGTTTGATTTAAAATTAAATTATTTTAGAAATGGCCCCGAATCTTCCTCGTATTTAAAGGATTAAATTGTGCTCTCTGACAAACACAGGAAAATTTAAAAAAAAAAAAAAAAACATTTAAAACCTCTAATAAAGCATGTTTTTGTAACAACGTGAACTAATTGTCTATTAGTTACTTCGATGGCCGTAATAACTTGTGGTTTAGCCACAGCACACAACTGCATAGATTTTTTTGTCTCTGTTTATTTTTTCCTAAAGAATCGCAAAACCATTGATAATAAATTTGTTATGTTTCGTCGCTGCTGCTCTTATCTCTATTTATTTTCCTACATAAATATTTTGCATCAGATGTCTACTCTTTTTTATGAATATCCTACAGGAAAACCAAAAAAAGAGCATTGGCTATCAATATTTGTTTACATTTTTTTTTGTGTGTTTTTTTTAAATACACACTTCTATTTAAATGTTAAAATCGATCAATTGGGATTGAAAACCGTGGCATGTTTGAATTTAATATTATTTGCCGCATTTATGTTATGCGGTTTTGTCCAGAGCTATTTAATATTGTGTTTATTCCGCTTTAGGTAAATACGATTAAAATAATGCAAATTATTCAATTAATTTGTGTTTAATTATTTATGTGTTAAGTTTTGAAAAAATGTGTAAATTCTTTACAGTGGCGACAGACATTTTAATGAGGTTACAGCTTAGTGCAATATGTATATCGTGAGGCTCGACTAATTTCACAAATATTCCAAGGGAAGGCATTGAAAATCGCATCGTTTTATGAATGAAAAATCTTTTTCATTCGAACTGCCTATATTGAAATATTATTTGTTACTACCTTTCATTTAAGGTTTATTTGTACCTTTTACAATGAATTTAACAATGCTTCTTACTTATTCTAAAAATAAACGCAGCACAGCGTATGTTTACATGATATTAATTATAATGTTTGTATTGGATGCTTTGACACTTAATTATGATGTCATTAATTAATAATAACGACAAATTATATAACAATAAATAATAATATTTTCCTCCACATGGAAATAATCGCATACACACAAATTCCCAACCATATATTATACATCGGGCAGGTATATTATGTCAAACACATTTACATGTTATGTATGTACACTGGTGGCCAAAACTAAAGCAACTGAAATTACAAAGAGCCAAATTAATTATTTTAAAATAAAAAATCAAAAAGTTGCTTTAGTTTTGACCAGGCAAAAATTGGGTCATTTTAGTTTCCCATACATTATTTTTCATTCAAAATTAGTAAAAGTTACAGGGCATTTATTGTCTTTGCGATTTTAGTTGCTTTAGTTTTGGCCACCAGTGTACGTACATATGCCTAGATAGATGTATGTAGACATAATTTGTGATAATTAAATAGTATTATTTATGTTGCTTAGAAAAAATGAGATCCACCCTAAAGTTTGATAAACATACATGAGAATATGAAAACATTTGTCAAGCTATATGTAATTATACCATACAATAAGTTTGATTGGGCCAAAAATTATGTAATACCTCGAAATATTGGTTTCCCACAAGAAATTATATATGGATCTTCCTATGTCGACGAGCTGAGTCGACCTAGCTATTTTTGTCCGTCTGTCCATATTAATTTGTAGTCTCTCTACAGATCGCAATTATGGCCCGATTTTCACGAAATTTAGAATGGAGGAGGGGCTAAGGCCAGAAAAGAAGGGGTTGAAATGGACCAAAAACTGAAAAATTTCCTGATTTTGCAGTTGCTCTACAGGTCGCAATTATAGACCAATTGACGCGGAAGTTAATAAGGCTGGAGCTTAAGTCTGGGCAGTTGCGTTCCAATTTGGATGGTGATCGGGTAATATTTATTGGGTTAAATAAATCATAATATTTGTGTTAAGTCAAATTTTGCCTACAACCGCGAATATTTTTAATCCCGGTGAAATCACATATAGACGAACAGGTCAATTCTGACCGTTACATAGATGGCGATAGTAAATATGTCGGATATATATAGCGAAATATATACAGTGTGTATATACAAACGAAGGGGATGTTAGCTAGAATGCATATATCTCATTAATGGACGGACCGACTTTGAAAAACTCTGTCAACTCAGAATGCCCTCTTGGCATAAAAGAATAAAATCTAAACAAATCGCATAAAATTATGCTAATAATGATGTTAATATAGATTTTGTAGTATTTTGTGATTTTTTTTTTATTTTTACAAATTCTTTATCGCATGCGATTTTTTCAATTTGACTTATAATATTGAAGTGTACACGGGCTGGAGTTATTATATACAGGTTGCAATTATCGTCCGATCCTCACGAAAATTTTCACAAGGGTAGGGTTAGGCTCAGAAGGGCTAGGCCTATTGTTTTGATAT